TAATTGGTACCGGGTTATCCTAGAGGGGGTCGGGTCATTGGGTTAAAAATAGGGAATAGGTTTTTTTTTTTAAAATCCGGGTAATTGGGTCAATTTGGATCAATTTTGGGGATTCCGTCTAAATGAGGGGTAATTTTGGTGAAATTAGTAACGGGAGGGGTAAAATTAACTTCATTTTAACGGCGAGGGTAAAGTCAAACAATAAACCAAAGTTGGGGGGTATTTTTGACCCTTTTCCCTTGCATATATTATGCAAAATTAATTAAAATGCGTATAAATTGATTCGGATACGAAATTATTTAAAAAGAAAAGAAAAAAGGTCAGAAATGGGACCCTTAGAGAGTAGAGAGCATGGAAAAAGTGCAAAAAGTAGTAAACAAACTTTTAAACTAAGCAAGGGTATATTCGTCATTAAATACTTATATATCAGATAAGAGAGAGAGAGACAGCCATTAACAGATAAAGAGAGTGAGCTTGAACAGAGAGAAAGAAGAAGAAGAAGAACAGAGAGAGAGAGAACATTAACGCCGTTAACTTCACCGTTACTGTATGAAAGCAAAGCTATGGTGTCGGACCAGGAAATAGCTAGAGGTGTTGAGATTTTGCTCCGTCAATCGGACCCTAACGCCGTTACATCGTTAAACGGCGTCGTACAACAGCTCGGAGCAAAACTTGGACAGGACCTTTCACATAAAGCGGAGTTTATCAGTGATCAGATCAGTCTTCTCCGATCACAGCCACCGCAGCTTATTTCTCCTCCGTTGATGGTTAAAAACCATTTTACCCTCCTAAACCACCCACAATTCGCTAACACTCAAGCTCAACAGCAGTTGTATTCCCATTTTGCCCTTCAACAACAACATCATCATCACCAGCACCAACAACAGCAGCTCTACTTTCAGCACCATGTACCTCCACTGCTGTCTCCGCAGCATCAGCACCGGCAACCACCGTCACTGCAGTCGCAAGTGCAGCAACAAGCTCCGGTGCCGGTGATGGTGAGAACCGCTGCTGCTCCAGCTCAACATGCGTCGTCAAATGTCGCTTCTGCCCCTAAGGAAAGGTATGGTGTATTTCATTGTAGTATAATTCGGCGAGGATAAGTTTGTCTTTTTAACTCTTTCAATGTAAGATGAAAATTAATTTTACTGAAAATACTATTTAAGAATATGTTTTTTTTTTTTTTGCTAATTTAAAGTTGGTGCTGGTAGTTGGGCGAATATAGGTGGAGTAAAAAGGGGTAGTCTTTTTATTTTTTTTCTAAATTAATACTATGCTCTTATGTCATTTGATTACGTTATTTAATCGTTTCCTATGTTTACGTAATTACGTGTTCAAATTTGGTAGCAGTTTTGCATCAAAGCTGGCCCGGACACCATGACTATAAAAATAAAAATAAAATTGTAGCGACATTGATAGTATAGGGCTATTACTTGGCCAATTACAACCTTACAAGAGTAGACAAAGTATTTAAATCATTGTTGGATAAAAAACTAGAGAGTGAATTCTATGTACTAATGGTCATCGACATAATCAGAAGAAATGGATGTCGTAAACGCACAAATGGAACACGAATTGGTATTATTTAGGGGATGTAATTTCGATCTAAACCTGGAAACCCGTATCTTTATATATGAAGTTACTTTGTTCCCTTGGAAACCAATAAAGTACTCTATACTTCTTCACTACTTGTACATGATTGATAGTGTTAAGTTGTATTGAGGGAATTGTTTTGTCTCAATCAATCAATAATACGTCACATTTACCTTTCTTAAGTAGGTAGTTGTAAGTTGTAACTATTTTATATTGTTTTTCGCCTTTTTTCGTTTTCTAAAGTGAATTTGAACCTTGGGGAGTTAGTTCTTTCATTTGTCTGAAATGTTCAATAAATGATATCTGGTTCAGTTAAGTAAACATATACATCTCCCCCTAGTTATAAGAGTTGAGCGAATCGTTTATATGGTTTCACTATCCAAAGCATCCTGTATTTGATACGGTTTTTGTTCTGTCCAGTGCTACTTCTGGAACAAAAAGGAGAGGTGGACCAGGTGGTCTTAACAAAGTCTGTGGTGTTTCACCTGAACTTCAGGCTATTGTTGGTCAACCCACAATGCCCAGGACAGAGGTATGATTGTCATATCATAAGTTCCCGAGTTGTTGTTAGCTGTTATTACATAGATCATATATACATCTTTCTTTGCTCGATCAGATTGTGAAGCAGCTGTGGGTGTACATCAGGAAACACAACTTACAGGATCCTGGTAACAAGCGAAAGATTATCTGCAACGATGCTCTGCGAGCACTCTTTGAAACAGACTGCACCGACATGTTCAAGATGAATAAGCTGCTGGCTAAACATATCACCGCACTCGATCCTTCAAGTATGTCAAATAATAAATGATATCCGTTTGTAATAATATATCTCTTATTTTCACACTTATAAAAAGTACATCGAAAAAGAAGAAAAGGGAAAAATCCACAAATAGCTACAGTTTGAAGGGTTTATAACTATTTTAATGAAAACGTTCTCCTCTCCAACCCCTGCAGAACAAGCTGATCAAGCTAAAAGATTGAAGGTTGAAGCTGATTCTGTGGCTACTAATGTTGAACAACCTGTCTCATCCACTGTTACAATATCTGATGCGCTCGCCAAATTTTTTGGAAGTGAAGAAAAGGAGATTCTCCAAACAGATGCTGTGAAACGTATTTGGGAGTATATAAAGCTTAACCAACTTGAGGTAGATGTCTATAATCTACTTCTTTTGTTTTGGTTATACAGAGGGCATGTGTTTGTTTTCTCTACTCTTAGTTCCTTTCTCATTTTCTACCTCGCTACAAGTTTTTAATATCTCTAAGCAATATCATCACATATCTCTGCATCTTTAGCATATATATCTGCATTTCTGCTTGCAGGATCCTGTGAATTCTTCGATGATCGTGTGTGACGCAAAGCTTCAGGAACTCCTACAATGTGAAAGTGTTTCTGCCACAGAATTACCTGAGATGCTGGCAGGTCGTCATTTTGTCTAGCAATGACTATACGTCTACATAATTATGGTAGGTGAAAAGCCATGGTGCATTAACCCTTTCATATGCACAAATAAATTAACTCCTGGACAACCCCAGAATTTCTTCTCGTTCGTTCAATACATGAGCTATGACACACGTTCTTAGTGACAATGACAAAATCATTGTACCTCAAGTAATTTTCTAATATCTTATACGAGATTATGCTTGACTTGAGTATCTTCATATGTTACTTTTCGATACCCATAAGCATTTGTATTGAACTTCAAGCTGTGGTTTTTTGCAGGTATTTCACCTCAAGTTGTTCGATGACACGCTAATGTTTCCGAAGATGTATCTTGGTTTTTAGGTAAGTTCAGTTTATTAACATAGTTAGACATCATGGTATGTAATTAGATATCTGGATTGATCTGCTCCCCGGCCTTATGGCGGAAAGTTGTTTTTGTAATTATGCCACGGCCTTGATCTAGGTTCACTAGCCTCCTTTGTTCTTGTAAAATCCTGGCATTCTTGATATATATGGATAGTAGGAACATTAACAGATCCTTAGCTTGTTCGAACTCGTTGAAATTAAGATGTACATGTCAGGTCTACAATATACATTGGAGAGTATATTTCTCTTTCGTCTTTGATATAAAATTCCTGTTTTCTTAGTGCTTTCGTTGCCCCTGTTGAGGAAATGATCTCCTATGACTAGTTACAATTTGAATAGAAGAAGACAACCAGAGGAGTGACATTTTAAACATCGTTGTTATGTCTCTTTCCTAATGCTTATTTATAGCATATCGATTTTGAGTTGCTTGTTCTGTGATTATAATCTTCATAGATGGCACCAAAAGTTTCTGCCATCTATGAAGATTCATCACACAAGAAGCAACTCAGAATCGCTACAATAACATATCCAGTATAATCCCACAAGTGGGATTGGAAACTCAAAATCGCTACGAATCAAAAAAGAAAATTACTAGTGAATTACATGAAGTTCTTAATCAAATACAGCAAAGCTACAAATAGTAGAGTCATAAGCGAGATTTGCAGAGCCTCTTTCATCTTTCCCTTCAAAATATGTGGAGTCATCTTTTGAATTGCTCTCAAAAGGAAGGATGATATTTTCTGGTGAATTGAAATAAAAATACAAATAATCTTATATTAGTACTTGCTAAAATTGTAGACCATGTATCTATAATTTTGTTATCATATGTATTACTCGTTTTTGAGATTCAAATTTCTTAATTTTGACCGTACATTTAGACATAGAGTTTTTTTAGTTTTTTTTAATAATATTTACATATCTAGAAACTACATAAAAGGTACACCATCCATAATATTTAGAAGTTATATGAAAATATGACGATCCAAGAATAATTTGTTTGACTCTCGAACATTATCACTCACCAATCTAAGTGGCTCAATTTGAAGGAGTGGCTCCATGATCATCTCCACATTCCTGTCATTCAATGGGAAAATCGTTAGTTCGCACTAATAGATTCATTATTCATCGAATTTTACATAGATGATTTCATTATCTATCGAGTTTCGAATCCTCTTGATTATAAAAACAAGGATAGAGGAAATCTTGATATTAACATGTTTTTTCCCTCCTCTTTACCTTATCATCATACGACCCTTGTAATAATGACAATGATAGAATCCAAAACCTTTCACAATAGGAATATGAGTGTCACTGCATTCTGCAATAAAAATAAATGGTAATCGAAGAATTCAAATTAGTCGATTCAGTAAATTTCAAATATCGTTTTGAAAGAATAAAAGTATAGAACAATGGGCTAACCTAGTTTCCAAGCAACCCCAACATCTGTTCCATCATGTGTAGTTGGTTTGAAAACAATCTCAAAGTTATTATTCCCTAGGAGTTTTATGATTGATTTGAAGAAATCAATTACTTGCTTCAAGGAGAAAAATAAACAAAATAAATAGTAAGATTTTTTTAATAAATAAATCACAAGAGATTTTCGTAAATGGGCATAGAAGATCATTTCCTCGAAAATCACATTGGAGAGATAAAGAGTTTAACATACCTCCTTGCCATAGAAAGTTTGTAAGGAAGAGGCAACATTGCTAATGCATCTACATTCTTCTCCAATTATATCAGACAATTCAATAAGATTTTTATTTTTAAGTGCTTTATAAAGTTTTTGTACTGTTTCCATAGCTTTTGGGTCTTCTTCTGGATTATTATTTTCTGAATTATCTGATTTATTACATTTCAAAGGGTATAATATGCAATTTCTTTTGGATGAAACTTGGTTTAATTGAATAAAACTAGAAACATATTTTTGGTCATGAAGAAGTTGTAGTTTCTTTTTTTGATGGAGAGAAAATTGGGAGTTTTTTTCTTGGAAAATTATTGGGAATTTTTTATTAGAGATTAAGGTAGAAGGGAAAATATTTAGTGAACTCATTTTCAAGAAAATTGGATGTGTATGAATATGAAATAATTTGGCTATATATTTATAACACTTTGTTCATAACATGAGTTTCACATGTATGAAGAGAATAAAGCATAACATGTTCATTAAGGTTTCAACCATTGCAAGATTGGAATATTTGATATAGTATCATGGCCTAGGGAATAAATATAGCTATATAGGTCAAGCAAAATATAAATTTGAAAACTCATCTTTTTTCTATATTGATGAGGGAGGAAGAGTATCTGAAATCAATGATGGGGTTAGGAATTTTTACCAAGGAAAATTAAAATATAAAGAAGTAACAATTCAGTGAGTTTTAACATAGATATAAGATACTTAACTATATAGTGTAATTTTCGAGCAAAAAGGTGTTGATTGACATATCTTAGACAAGGATGATTTTGCCAAAGATTGATGAGTGGAAGAAACAACATATGCAGAGTAATTTCATAAGTAGGGTTTGGGAGGATGGTGTGTACGCAGTCCTGCCCTTATCTTATGAAGGTAGAGAGACTGTTTTCGATAGACATTCGACTTATTCTTACGTGGAGATTGAATATCCTTAAATCCCAACCAAGCACTATCTAATAAGCTCATGTGATCTTTTGGGCATTTTCCAAACATATCTACACATAATTTTTTGGTACCAATCAGTAATCAAAAGTTGTATGGTTAAAGCATTTCATTGTGATGAATGACATTTCCTTGGAAATACATTGTTGGATTTGCATGAATGTTATTTAGTTTTGTGTCCATTTTTGTAACAAATTCACAATGTAGGCACCAAAACATGTTAACATGACCATGTTTTAAGAAAAAAATGTTGGACTTTGGGACTTCAAATAATACAAGATAGTGGTTTCCCAATGTGTGAATGAAAAAGAAATCTTTATACAAATAGCTGGTTGGATTAATTGTTCAATTTTCCTAATCAATATATATAGACTATACACGATTATACACATATTCAATATGAATCAAATATACGTTGTACATCTACCAGCTATTTTTACTTTAAGCGGTTGAGTAAACAACTATTTAGGTTAATTTTTTTCAATAAAATGAGGTGCGATCGATTGTGCATGTGGATAAGGACTAGGTCCTATCTATAAACAAATACCATTTCAGATTTTCTATAGTTGTTAAAGAAAACTCTTGAGTTCCATAGTTAAATGGTATGTCTATTGTCATTCACTACACCAAAAAGAATTTTTTTACGGTAATAAATTTATTTACTGCCACAAAAATATTTAGCAACAATTAATTAAATGTCATGCAATCCAGAGTCGCTAAAGGCTCTAGTGACATTTATTTTCTAATTGATATAATATATATTAACTATACACGATTATACACATATTACTATATTAACTATACACATATTATATCTGGATTGATCTGCTCCCGGCCTTATGGCGGAAAGTTGTTTTTGGAATTAAGATGTACATGCCAGACCTATAATATACATTGGAGAGTATATTTCTCTTTCGTTGTTGATATAAAATTCCTGTTTTCTTAGTGGTTTCGTTGCCGATGTTGAGGAAATGATCTCCTATGACTAGTTACAATTTGAATAGAAGAAGACGACCAGAGGAGTGACATTTTAAACATCGTTGTTATGTCTCTTTCCTAATGCTTATTTATAGCATATCGATTTTGAGTTGCTTGTTCTGTGATTATAATCTTCATAGATGGCACCAAAAGTTTCTGCCATCTATGAAGATTCATCACACAAGAAGCAACTCAAAATCGCTACAATAACATATCCAGTAAAATTCCACAAGTGGGGTTTGGAAACTCAGAATCGCTACGAATCAAAAAAGAAAATTACTAGTGAATTACATAAAGTTCTTAATCAAATACAGCGAAGCTACAAATAGTAGAATCATAAACAAGATTTTCGTAGCCTCTTTCATCTTTCCCTTCAAAATATTTGGAGTCATCTTTTGAATTGCTCTCAAAAGGAAGGATGATATTTTCTGGTGAATTGAAATAAAAACACAGAGAATATTATATTAGTACTTGCTAAAATTGTAGACCATGTATCTATAATTTTGCTATCATATGTATTACTCGAACACAAAATATTTAAAAGATATATGAATAGATTGTGATCAAAGAATTATTTGTTCAGACTCTTGAACATTATCACTCACCAATCTAAGTGGCTCAATTTGAAGGAGTGGCTCCATGATCATCTCCACATTCCTGTCATTCGAAGGAAATTGTTAGTTTGTACCAACAGATTCATTATTCATCGAGTTTTACATAGATGGTTTCATTAACTATTGAGTTTCGAATCCTCTTGATTATAAAAACAAGGATAAAGGGAATCTTGATATTAACATGTTTTTTCCCTCCTCTTTACCTTATCATCATACGACCCTTGTAATAATGACAATGATAGAATCCAAAACCTTTCACAATAGGAATATGAGTGTCACTGCACTCTGCAATAAAAATAAATGGTAATCGAAGAATTCAGAATTAGTCGAGTTAGTAAATTTTGAATATCGATTGAATAATGGGCTAACCTAATTCCCAAGCAACCCCAACATGTGTTCCATCATGTGTAGTAGGTTTGAAAACAATCTCAAAGTTATTGTTCCCAAGGAGCTTTATGATTGATTTGAAGAAATCAATTACTTGCTTCAAGGAGAAAAATAAACAAAATAAGTAGTAAGATTTTTTTAATAAATAAATCACAAGAGATTTTTGTAAATGGGCATAGAAGATCATTTCCTCGAAAATCACATTGGAGAGATAAAGAGTTTAACATACCTCCTTGCCATAGAAAGTTTGTAAAGAGGAGGCAACATTGCTAATACATCTACATTCTTCTCCAATTATATCAGACAATTCAATAAGATTTTTATTTTTAAGTGCTTTATAAAGTTTTTGTACTGTTTCCATAGCTTTTGGGTCTTCTTCTGGATTATTACTTTCTGAATTGTCTGATTTATTACATTTCAAAGGGTATAATAGGCAATTTCTTTTGAATGAAACTTGGTTTAATTGAATAAAACTAGAAACATATTTTTGGTCATAAAGAAGTTGTAGTTTCTTTTTTTGATGGAGAGAAAATTGGGAGTTTTTTCTTGGAAAATTATTGGGAATTTTTATTAGAGATCAAGGTAGAAGGGAAAACATTTAGTGAACTCATTTTCAAGAAAATTGGATGTGTATGACTGTGAAATAATTTGGCTATATATACAACACTTTGTTCATTACATGAGTTTCACATATATGAAGAGAATAAAGCAAAACATGTTCATTAAGGTTTCAACCATTGCAAGATTGGAATATTTGATATAGTATCATGGCCTAGGGAATAAATATAGCTATATAGGTCAAGCAAAATATAAATTTGAAAACTCATCTTTTTCTATATTGATGAGGGAGAAAACTCATCTTTTTCTATATTGATGAGGGAGGAAGAGTATCTGAAATCAATGACGGGGTCAGGATTTAAGGAAAATCAAAATATAAAGAAGTAACAATTCAAAGAGCTTTAACATATAAGATAGTTAACTATATAGTGTAATTTTCGAGTAAAAAGGTGTTGATTGACATCGCTTAGACAGGGATGATTTCGCCATTGTTGTGAAACAATAAGTAATAGATTGATGAGTGGAAGAAACAACATACGTTGAGTAATTTCACAAGTAGGGTTTGGGAGGATGGTGTGTACGCCACCTTACCCTTTTCTTATGAAGGTAGAGAGACTGTTTTTGATAGACCTTCGACTTATCCTTACGTGGAAATTGAATATCCTTAAATCCCAACCAAGCACTATATATCTAAGCTCATGTGATCTTTTGGACATTTTCCAAACATATCTACACATAATTTGTTGGTACCAATCAGTAATCAAAAGTTGTATGGTTAAATCATTTCATTGTGATGAATGACATTTCCTTGGAAATACATTGTTGGATTTGCATGAATGTTATTTAGTTTTGTGTCCATTTTTGTAACAAATTCACAATGTAGGCACCAAAACATGACTATGTTTTAAGAAAAAAATGTTGGAATTTGGGACTTCAAATATTACAAGATAGTGGTTTACCCAAAGTGTGAATGAAAACGAAATCTTTACACCAATAGCTGGTTGGATTAATTGTTCAATTTTCCTAATCAATATACATAGACTATACACGATTATACACATATTCAATATGAATCAAATATACATTGTACATCTACCACCTATTTTTACTGTAAGTGGTTGAGTAAACAACTATTTAGGTTAATTTTTCAATAAAATGAGGTGCGATCGTGCATGCGGATAAGGACAAGGTCCTATCGATAAATAAATATCATTTCATCTTTTCTATAGTTGTTAAAGAGAACTCTTGAGTTCCATAGTTAAATGGTATGTCTATCGTCATTCACTACACCAAAAAGAATTTTTTTGCGGTAATAAATTTATTTACTGCCACAAAAATATTTAGCAACAATTAATTAAATGTCATGCAATCCAGAGTGGCTAAAGACTCTAGTGACATTTATTTTCTAATCGATATAATATATATTAACTATACACGATTATACACATATTACTATATTAACTATACACAATTATACATATATTATATATGAATTAAGCATGTATTATTATACATAATTGGGCCATGAAATATGACTAGTGAAGAAAATTATCCAACCCAAATTCCCAATAGGGTCCCTCTCCCTTTTTATAAGACCAAATGCATATGGGCCTTAAATGGACCCACCTTCATAATTATATTAGTTAGAGATGTTGACATTTTTAGTCAGTAAAATTTTGTTTACCCATTTAAGCGTGATAAGTTGTAGTCGGTTATCGATATATGCTCAGTTATAGCAAGTTATAATCGATATTTACATTAATTTTACGTAGATTACAGAGTGATTATATATATATATATCATTTCGTACCTGAGAAGCCTATGTATAAATAAGATTGATTTTACTTCCTCGTGTAGCTATTCTATAGGTTGGGTAGGCCCGGGGGAGAAGTTATAGACATCTTTCCATACTTTGCATCTAGAATACTTCATTTAATTTCTTTTGTAGTGGACTTTGGTGACATTTATTATGCACTTATGGGACCTGATAATACACTTGAAGAATCTTTTCCCTTCGATAATACACTTGAAGAATCTTTTCCCTTCTGTGGTTATGTTCGAAAAGATCGAAATAAAATGATCACAATTTTAGATATTCACTTAATAGGTATTGGTGCTTTTCTTCTTGTCAAAGCTCTTTATTTTGGACGTGTATATGATACCTAGGCTTCGAAGGGGGGGGGGGGGGGGGAGATATAAGAAAAATTATCAACTTGACCCTTAGCCTGAGTATCATATATATATATATATTATTATTATTATTATTTTATTTTTTTTTTTTAAAAAAAAAAAACTCTTACATCAAACATTAATATTTGGACATTTGAACCCACATTAAATGTACATCAATTTTCGATAAAAACTTACGTGTTTTGGTTAAATAAGAAAACTAAGATGGTATCTATCTTGAAAACAACTTTATAAAAGAGGGAGGCCCCTATTATTCTCAATAATGTATTTTTGGATAGGTAACATTTAATCATATTGCATTTCTAGTTCACTACTAAAAAAAGGAAATTTCCAATGGACTTTCCGTCAGTATGGTTAACCGATATATAATTACTAGTAATTAATTCTGATTTCATGTTGATGAGTTGTACTCTATAATTTGAACTCAGGATGAATTTTTGTTTGCTCACCTTTGCGAGATCACAACCCCTTTGTCCTGGTTGTCGTATCATATATGTCGCTCAGGACATAAGGTGCATGATGACTTGACGTCATCCTCACCTTCCTCTGGCTTATCATCAATAAAATTTATCGTAACGTAGCTTGTTGGTAACATAATTCAACGATTTTTCGACTCCACTAAGTCTATCAAATAATCGCTTTGGCCCTTTTGAAAAACCAAATCATATTGCTTAATTAACAAGGGCAGAAAAAAGATTCACATATCATCATAATAAAAACAAATTAAAAGTAGATAAAAGTTTCTCAAATGTTGTTGACAGACAGTCAAGTAATTGAAATTGATGAAATAATTACAAATCTAACAGACCAACTTTTAAGGAAAGAAACCTAGGATTTTATCTTCCTTTCTTTTTACGATGTTTTGATTGCCAAATAGTTTAGTCTTTTTTTGTTGAGTTTAACAAATGATTGATTCTAAAGTATGGTGAAGTTGTCTTTATACGACTTGTAAATATTGTACGTCAAGAATTCAAGTCGTGAAATCAATTTATCAATGATACTTGTGTTAAGGTAAATTGTCTAAATTACACATTCTTTTTACAGTACGATTTTTCCCGTACCTTATGTAAATGTGATATAATTTATGCATTGAACTAACCTTTTTATTAGATTCACCTACAATGTCCTATATGGGCGAAGCAACTAGGAACAAGGTCAAAACTATTCTTATGTATGTTGAATTTCTTACTTCTTGATTTGTGTTTTTTTATATATTTTTTAAGTTATCTTAGTGAAAATTCTGATTCCGCACCTAATTTATAACAAAAAAAATATACAACTTAAATCTTTTATGAGAAAATTATCAAATTAACATTGGAAACTAGACAGGCTTTCTAACATGGACCATATGGTTTTACAAGTTTTTGCTAAAGTGAAAAAAAAGACTCCAACATGAATCATTAAATTTTAAAGGTGCTTGTCGATTAATGTCCACAATTTTAGGAAAAAAATGAGCAGTCCTTATTATTATGTTGTTGTTTTTTCAAAAAATAAATAAATATAACAATCTTGAATTTGCCTCCACGTATTATTTTTAGGTCATCATCATTGGCAAAGAAGTTGTAGAATGAAGTGATTTTCAATTCGTAGACTTATATATAACTTGAATATATATTATTCGTAAGGGTGACTGAGTTGGTGCAACAGGTGATATTTCATAAAAAATATCAGGGATCAATTTCTCTTGTCAACGCCTTTTCGGTTAAGCTCGTCATGTGATCGGGTTTGACTTGTATAGTTTACATCTCCTATGTGATTTGTGAACTATTGTACGTAACGAATAACAACAAATTCAAAGAAAAAACTTGAATATATAGTTCACAAAGTTATAATCGAATTTAAAAGATTTTATACAATATAATTCAAGAATAAGGCACGTCGATCAATTGGAGTAATCCATCATTGTTGCAAATTTGTAATGTATCTTAAGTGGCATTATGAAAAGTCCTTTTTGAGTTTGATAGATTTTTCCCATTGGGAAAAAACAAAAAATGCGTTATGAATCCTATTGATGTAACTTTTTCATTTTTTGAAGATCTCTAAAATTTGAATACAATTAAGAGAAAGTAAAGTTTTAGACTTTTTTGTCTTTTCTTGTTTATGTCTTCAATATTTAAGACTTATTAATTTGACTAATTCAAATTCATATAATATAGAATACAATTAAGAGAAAGTAAAGAGTATTCGCTATTTTCAAAACTTAGACCATCAAATCTTTACTTTTATATATATATATATATATATATATATATCCTATTCATCGACCACACTTTGTTAGTATATTTCTATCAGCTTTCCAAGCAATACTTAATCATATATATATGAGATATTAGTTGGTTTTTCATTTAATGTCCAGTATCATTAATTAAACACAATTAAATTCAAATTTATATAAAAAAATCTCACATTTTGTTCTCTATATCTAACAAGGCTAAAATTCGAAATCTCATATTATTTCATATAGTTTGGGAGGAAGAAATTATAAATAAGAAAAGCATACTATTATTGAAAATGATATAATTAATGATGTATGTGTTAACAAAAAAACCAAAAACAAGAAAGAAGAAGAACACAACACGTAAATTGTGGCAAGAAAAAAACAAAGAGGAAAAAATGAGCTTGACAGGTCTGATAATCTTGGAGATGTTTTAAAAACATTTTCACTAATGTACTATTTAGGTAAAAAAGGAAAAGTACTAGGATCCGATGTATCATTTACTCGTCAATCAAAAATCTCGAGTTTAATTTTCACGATAGAGAAGTTTCTCAGAAAAATACTTTCATTTTAAGAGTTTGAGACAAATTCAAATTAATCAGATCGATGAATGAATTTTGCATAACACATGCATGAAGCCAAAAATACTTAAAAGAACTTACGTAAGTAAACACATACAATTAGCCATCTTATTGATATTAATTGTTAGTATATATTTCTTGAGTAACTATTTTCTTCGTAATCTATGCTACATTTTTTTTAATCAATTAGAAAAAAAAACCTCTTTTAAAACATCATTTTATTTTCTTAATGAAATAACTTGTAACACAAATATCTATAAATTATTTTTAAAATCTTTATTTTATTCTTAAATTTCGTATAGAGTCAAACACCATCAATAAATTTGAAGGAATGGGTAATTTAGTTTTGTTAGTAGTGAAATTATGTGACAGTCTCATAAATAAATATCATTTTTCTACCTTATAGAGGTGGACAAAATGTCATGTCAGCAATAGTAACATGTTAAATGTTAAAAGAGCATAAATTCAAAATACTTTATAATATAGTATATTATAGCATCCTATATTATAGTGGGGTCACAAGGAATCAAAAATATTCCAAGGAAATTAGCCAAACGCAAGAGCCATCACACTTCACATCCAATTTTTAAATAATTCACTTGACATATACCACTTGGTTTGCCAAACCAAAAATTAAAAAAATTAAAAGATCCCCATCATATATATGGGATAGGAAAAAAGTAAATAAAATATTAGTACTAGTTATTCAACTCCAAAATCATAATAGAGACAATATTCAATTATGGTCCTAATTATTCATTTGGTAGACTAAATAAATACTAATAGATCCTTATCACAACATAGTTCATACTTCATAGCATGTATTGTCCATTCTGATCCTATAATAATTATGATTTATCTCTTGAACTACGATATTGTTAAGCTCAAAAGTGTGCTTATCATATAAACTCATGTTATGTCTTATGAAAACGAGGCATTATTACTAATTGGTATATGCTTTGTTCACTCTAATTTGAGATGTATATTCTGATGACGACTCTTTTCTTGTTTTTATTTTTCCCAATGCTATGGTCCAAAATTTTGTGTTTATTGACGGTGAAGAATGAGGATCTTATAATAATAATAATAATAAATAAATAAAATTATACTTGTATTTTAGTGGTAGAAATTCCTTGATGAAGTTTTGTATATATAATAATAAAAAAACTCTAGCTTCAAACATTCCACACTAAAATTTAATGTGCATTGCATATTCTCTAGGTACTTGTATCAATGTCAATAATAGTAACAACAAATATCAAATAGTACTATCTGCCTTTTATATTCTGAAAAATATGTCAGCATGTTTAGTATCATTCAACTAATAATATTGATTTAAATTTTAAATTTTTAAAAACACGAAGAAGCTGAAGAGAGTTCAACATTCTACTATATATACCTAAACAATATCATTTTCCATCGAAAAAGGTCAATTCAAATCCCCTCAACCCTACCTGGCTCCGTTATCGCTCCTTCATTGTAAGAATATCGTTCAAGCAACATTCATCTCTACGGGGATTATTCATTTTCTCAATATCTTTTTTTTCTACAACATCAAATATATATATAAAGTTTTTCGGAGAGCCGACGTAATATGTAAAGTTATTGTCACGTGATTTGCACTATAAAGACAATCTCTTACATAGATATAAGCTAATACTGTGTATAATAAGCGCTATTAATTCAATTTTCCTCCGAACATTGTGTATAACGAAAGCTTAGTGCCACCGACTTTGTTTCAGTCAACTATATACGGATAAGAGTATGGGCAAATGACACAAATCCAGCGTGGCAAAATCAGAGAAAGTAATGAAAATGGGGCCCAAATAGCACGAGTAGTACTACCTGGAAAGCATCTAAAGGGTCTTAGGTATGGGCCCACTAGGCCCAAATAAAGTAGGGCCCATTTAGAGAAAACCCAAAAGGATTTGGATCTAAAAAGGAAGTGCCACGTCAGAATATGGGGCCCATTTAGACGTTAATGATCGTAAATTGTGATAGTGGGGGCCCATTTCGGCACCGGCCCTTCACTATTATTTTGGACTTTACGCTCATAGCCATTTGTCCACAAATAAAAAATAATAATAATCCAAGTTGGCATTTTTTTTCCTTCAAATTCCTAAACATTCTCATCTTGACTAGTATTGTAGAAAAAAACATTTTACTATATTTGGTGAAATTTTGATGTGATTTTACACTATGTATTTTTACTGTAGTTAATGAAAGGTGTGTCATGCCGACAATAAATAAATATTCGATGTATAAATTATTTCGTGTTTAGCAAGATCTGAAAGGATCGTCATATTTCAATAAGGAGTGATGTAAGTAGTTTATCTTGAGCATGTATCAATGTCTGATCATGACTCGAGTTCGTGATTAATAGATCGATCCAATCCAAAGTTGACAACAAAAGATGTATAATTTGAATAGTAGTATCACGAGTTTAAGTTGTTTAATATTTTATTTATTTAATTTATATGATGCGAAGAGTTATGGAGCTTTTGATTTTAAATATAACATAATGTTTGTTTGGTTATAAGATTTATTGAAATATGTGATCTTAAACATGTCAAAATATTTGTAATTAAGAATAAAATATTTAATATGAAGTTAAATTATTTTTAGATTGGAGTAACATATTTTGCAACTTTTTCATTTACAAAACAACTTATTAAAATGAACTTTACTAAAATATACTATCATACCACATTGGTAAATGCACATACTGAAAGAAAATATGTTTCTACTAATTAAACATTTATACAATAATTTGTGAGATCCAATACATACATTAAAAAAGTTTAGATAAAAGATTGAGTCATTATTTACATGGATTAGCAACTTGATTCGTTATAATGGTAAGAGTTGTGATAGAGTGATAAATACTCTTTTATTTTTAAAAAAATAGAAATCTCAAATTTAAGCTTTAGATACAAAAGTGTGATTACAAAATACTTTACCCTACGTAAAAGTTTTCGGCGTGAGTCAATATTCAATCGAACCCTACTGAACATAGGATGTGAAATTTAAAAAAAATTATATTTATTCCCTTAAACCAAGAGATTTTGTTGTAAAGGAACTAGAATTAAGAAAAATATTAATTTAAAAATTAGAAGAACATGAAAGCATGATGGTCTTAGTCACCTACATGCCCTACTGCACAAAACACAGAAAGAAAAAAGATATAATAGCTGTTATAGTAAATGGTCTCCACCACCATGTGACTTTGCTATTTCCCAATCAAAACAAATGCTTTTAGACAAACCTAATAAACGAATTAATTAATAACATTATTAAACAAAAAAACTCTTCTATTTGAGTCGAGGATCTATCGAAATCATATAACTTTAGCTACCTTTCAAGGTAGGCATAAGGACTTTAGCTACCTTTTAAGGTAGGCATAAGGTCGTGTGTACACACTATTCTTTCCAGTTACAACATGAGACTAAATATGTTATTGTTACTATATTATTATATAGAAAGCACATCATCTTGAAAATCAATAAGGTAAAAACAGAAAGAATGTGTTGAATATTAATTTTCGTAGAAAATACTATCGATGTGAACTTATTCATATTGTTGGTCCTAAATTTGAATGAATAGATTAATAAGTAATTAAATAAAGGGAAAAGGGTCAAAAATGCCCTTCGACTATGTGAAAGGAACAAAAATGTCTTCCGTTTATAGTTTGGCTAAAAAATGCCCTTACCGTCAATACTTTGGCTAAAAAATGTCCTTAAACTATGCGAAAGGAACAAAAATGCCCATCCGTTCGTAGTTTGGTCCAAAAATGCCCTTATTGTTATTTAATGGGTCAAAAATGATCATTTTCCAAATAAATATATTATTATTTTCTTTTTGACATATTCTTTTTCAATTAATGTTTTTTTTAAAAAATTAGCAAATCTCTATCTTACTTCAATTTTAGAAGAAAAAAAAAATGAAAATATTTGTTATTTTACTATCATTATTTTTTATCGTTATATTAATATAAATTAATGATGGGTATACTATGATCTTATATATAGGGCAAATATTATTTGTCGAAAGGGTACATGAAATTATTCTATTTTAATTGATAAAATGAGATTAAGAAGAAAAAAAAAAATCCCACATTTTTATTTGTCAATGTGATTTTAGAAGAAAGAAATAAAGAATAGTGTTCTTTAATAATATTTTAATTAAGAAGAAAATGTGTTTAAAAAGAAAAAACAATATATTTATTTAGAAAAAGGGCATTTTTGACCCATTTTGTAACTATAGGGGCATTTCTGGACCAAAGTATTGACTGCAAGGGCATTTTTGAATCAAACTATAAAAGGAGGGCATTTTTGTTCCTTTCACATAGTTTAAAGACATTTTTGACCCTTTTCCCTTAAATGAATTTGTAATGTCACCAAAAAAAAAAGTTTTTATTTTCAAAATAAATAAGGAAGAAAAAACCGAAAAGAATGTGTTAAGTAACGTTTTCTTATAAGAGATTGTTAATGTGAACTGATTCATATTGTGTCGATCTAATGTTTGAATAGACAAATTGATAAATAAATAAATTTATAATCTTATCAAAGAAAAAGCTCCTCATCTTGAAAATCAAAAAAGAAAAGAATGTGTAAGAATATTATTTTTCTTATAAAATAAAGTAAGCACGAACTTATTCATTATCAGTTTCAAGTTCAAATTGGTAAATAAATTAATTCATAATGCTATGAAAGAAAAAACTCGTCACGTTAAGGAAAAAGAGGAAATGGGATACAATTTTGTTTAATATTTACTAGATTTGCGTTGTGTGATTGTTGAAATTCTAACTTTCCTAATCATAAGTCTTAGATTCGAACCATTTGAAATTAAAAAAAATCCCCAATAAAGGAATGTTTTACCTATTAATAACATTTATTGTCCTTTTTAAGACTATATATTTAAAAAGCAATCACAATCAAGAAGTTCCAAATTTCAAAGTTTTACTTGTTGAATTTGAAATTCCATAACAAAAGCTAAAAATTGCTATTTATGAATTTTACTCTGTATTACTTGATGGACTTACTCCATTAGAATCTAGATTAATCGAACATGTAAATTTAAATATCCAATGATTATAACATTAACAACATACTGAATGTTATCCCATAAATGGGGTATGCATATCTTAATTCTATCTTTACATATATAGAAGTTGTTTCTGATAGATCTTCAACTCGAGTACGGAGTGATTAAACTTATAAAAAAGTAAGGAAAAAAGAAAATGTTTTGTAAGATTATTATTACTTATTTTCTTATTATTATAAGCATAAAGTAAAGTAAAAGTAAATACATTTACAACTAGACATCCAAATCTTTTGTACACCCTTAATTGTCAGTGATGTGAGGTGAGGTGTCAATATGTATATCCTTCAAGATTCTTTTTTCTTCCATTAATTATTTTTAAATTAAATACACTCCATTTTACTTCTCTATATAAAGCTCTCTTATTTGATCATTTTTTCCATCACCAATTACAATTACAAACCTTTTGCCCCTTCCATTTCTTCATTTATTTTCCTCTTTCCCATTTTCTTATTTTTCAACTTTATTCCAATGGCCAGTGTTGAGGTATTTTTATAATAATGTTTTTTTTTTCTATTTCTTTCTAAATGAAAACTAAAAACTGATCAAGATCAGTTACCTAATTAACTTTTCTTCAATGTTTTTAATATCCTGAAATATTATTAGATCATTCTTGTATAAAGGTGTGATCATATCTGTCATCAAGATTTATTACCAATTTAACTCGGACTTTTTAAAAACGTCAACTAGCATGTTGGATTCTCCAGAAGTAGTGAATTTTTGGATGATCCGATCGACACTATTGATGAAACATTTTTTAAGAAGTAGAATTTAACACCAAATTTTTTAAATATTAGCCTAGTGATCTGATAGATCAAATTAGGAAAACACTAAAAAAATAGAATCTTCATCTTACTTACTAGCTATAGTATATGTTTTGATTTTTATTTTTCCCTTTAAACTAAAAATGCAGAATTCTTGAATCTTTAATTTTGTTAAAACCATATGTAATACTTTTACATATGATCAATCTGAAAACAGTTGATCATTAATCAAAGATATTTTAATTTGATGGATCTTTCTCACTTGATTGATTTTTTTGTCTTTCTTAAAGGTTGAATCTGCACCAGTAGCAGCAGTAGAGACTGCTCCAGCTGAGGTTGAGGCTACCCCAGCTCCAGAGGTAACCAAGATAGCATTTAATTATTTGATCGTCTTATCTAAAAGTTTAATCTGTTAAAAGAAGTTACACTTTTAATCACTTAATAATGTTTTGTAACACCCGCTAACATGTTATGTTGCTTGGAATCTTCAAAACTGTGATTGCATGCGTTCCTGTCAGATCCTTAGAAAGTAATATAGTTTTTGAGGATCTGACACGGATGCGGTATCAAACATAGCTCAAGTGTTGGTCTGATTATTATTTTTTGCTTGTCCAAACACGTGGAAGTTCTTTTTTATAATAGTTGTGGTGCGATTTGAACTCAGGACATCTGGTTGCTCTGATATCGTATTGAAGTGTGCATGATCATGTTATTTAAAGTAGGTTTTAATTAACTTAATTGTGTCTTCAACAGGTGGAGGAACCAGCCCCAGTTGTAGAAAAGGAAGTCGAGGTCGAATCAGCACCAGCACCAGTAGAAGAAGAGGCTGCTCCTGTTGCGGAGGAAGCAGCAGCCCTTGTATCTGAAGAGCCTGCAGCTGCAGAACCTGCAGCCGCAGTGGCAGCTGCAGTAGAACCTGTTGCAGCCCCAGTTGAGGAACCTGCGGCTGCAGAAGAACC